CAATAACCAGCTTTCCCTTTGTCACCTTCCATTGCTTGTTGCCAAAACTAACGTTATGGTCTTCCTCATCAAGCTGTCCAACTGAGATCAACATCTTCTTCAGGTCTGGAATATACCTCACATCTTTCAGCCTCCAGGTTGTACCCAAAGTGGTACTGAGATCAACATCCCCAATACCCGTGATCTCCAGGGATTTGTCATCCGCCAAACGAACTCTTCCGCTGTAGGGCCTGAAATTTTTCATCAAATCCCTGCAATGACAAGCATGAAACGACGCACCTGAATCCATGATCCAGGACTCAACTGAATTCTCAACGCTGCAAATTAGAACATCTTCATAATCTTCTGCCACGTTCACCTCCTTCTTGCCTTTGTCTGCATGGGGTTTTGGGCACTGATTTCTGAAGTGTCCATTCTCTTTGCAATTCCAACAATTGATGTCCTTCCGGTTCTTGGATTGCCCTTTCTTTCTCGACTTCGATCTTCCCTTCTTGTTACCCCCTCTAGTGGATTTTCTGCCCCTATCTTCAGTACTCAACAAACTGTTGGAGCTATCCCCCGAACTCCTCCTCCGGATATCCTCACCAAGAATTAAGTCACGAATACCTTCAAAGGTAAGCTTAGTGGTTCCAGATGAACTACTAACCGCTGTGACTGTACCGGACCAACTATCGGGCAAAGATGATAACAAAAGTAATGCTTGGACTTCATCATCGAATTTAATCTCAACCGAGCCTAACCTGGATATGATTGAATTAAACTCGTTGATGTGATCTGCCACGGATGCACCTTCCTTCATTCTTGTATTCACCAACTGTCTAATCAAGAAAACTTTGTTTGCTGCTGAGGGTTTCTCATACATGTTGGATAACGCCTTGAGTAGTCCAAACGTTGTCTTCTCGTTGACGATGTTGTAGGCAACGTTCTTCGCCAACGACAACCTCACCACACCAAGAGCCTGTCGATCCAACAAATTCCATTCCGCCTCCGTCATCGTTTCTGGTTTGTTCTCAGACAACGGTTGATGAAGCTTCTTCTGGTAGAGATAATCCTCGATCTGCATCTTCCAGAAAGCGAAATCTTGACCATCAAATTTATCGATCTTAACCTTCCCTTCGTCAGCCATAGCTCTGATACCAATTGTTACGATTAGGCAAAGATAAACGATAAATTAAGAACAAGAACACAAGAATTAACGTGGTTCACGCAATCGGGGTGATTACGCTAGTCCACGGCGAACGAGAGAGAGTATCTATTATTATCAGTGTCCCAAGGGGTTTACAAGTACATAAGAGTCGTTTAAATAGGTTTAAGAAAACCTAATCAGAGATTAGAGCCGCAGGCCCTAATTAAAATCAAGCCCATTATTAAAAAACCCGTAGACCCGGTCGGGTCCGTCTCCTGACCCGGTCGGGTCTCTTCACAGAAATTCACACCCGGGTAGAAACCAGGTCGGGTTTCCAAAACAGAAAGTCACCGAACATCTGACCCGGTCGGGTCCTTCACCTGACCCGGTCGGGTCTCCTTTCCAGAAACTCCCCAGGTCTCTGCTTCAACATACCCGGTCGGGTCCTTCATCTGACCCGGTCGGGTATCAGTTCTGAAACTCTGAACAAGACTCCATCTTCAACACATTCTTTATATCTTCTTCCCATAAGAAATATCAAGCTACAAGATATCCATACCTTACGTCCTTAAGTAGGCATTAGGCAAAGCAATGATGTAATTAACTTATTTAAAATCAGGACAAGCTAAATGTTTCACCATCTCAGCCTAAAATTTATTTGAAAACCTTGATAATTATTAAATGAGAAGTTGCCACCGATAGGCTTTTCCTATTAAATGGTGTGATGGATACATCTACCATATCAAGTCATTTCATGGTAGTCAAATATAACGATTCAAACTCTCACACACACATATGAAATTTTCGACCACTTGTTCTATAAGATTAATCTTTGGAAGTTACCCAAATTTGACTGAAATATTCCTATATTCCTAGTACTACCGGAGTATATAAAATGTCATTACTTTACGAAAAAACTATTTCATCAAATCGTCACTTAAATTGTTCATATTCCTGTAATTCTCTAGACATTTTTTAATAAAGAACTCGATCCATCCTTGATACAAAATCAGAGACAAAAGCTCAAAAAAGCTACTTAAGACTCTAAAAGAGAAAACCATTTCAATATTGGTTTGTTGTGACAAGCCATCGTCCTGCTACGAGTTGTGGAAAGGTAGAAAGTCTTCATATCAATATTTAAAAGTGTGGGGGTGTCTTGTAAAGGTGCTTGTACCAACACCTAAGAAAATAAAAATAGGTCCAAAAACGGTGGATTGTATTTTTATTGGGTATGCACAAAATAGTAGTGCTTATCGGTTTTTAGTGTACGATTCGAATAATCAGGATGTACATAAAAACACAATAATTGAATCAAGGAATGCATCACTCTTTGAAGTCGTATTTCCATGCAAGTCCAATGAAGGATCAAGCACGTCAAAACATACATTATTTGACGTAGCTATGGAAAATACTAGCGAGGGATCCGCAGAAGAAGCCGAACCCCGACGTAACAACCATGCTAGAATTGAAAAATCCATCGGACCGGATTTTCTCACATACTTGGTAGAATTCGATTCCGACATTCTAACATGTATGGTAGAAAATGAACCAGATTTTCTAACATGTTTGCTACAAAATGAGCCACAGACTTATACGGAAGTCATCACGTCTACCGAAAATCCTATGTCCAAAGAAGCCATCAAAAGTGAGGTGGATTCTATCCTACAAAATCACACGTGGGAATTGGTTGATCTTCCTCTGGGATGTAAGCCTTTGGGATCCAAGTGGATTTTTAAACGGAAAATGAAACCCGACGGTGTCACGGTCCCATTGATAAGTACAAGGCCAGACTTGTAATCAAGGGATACAAGCAACGTGAAGGTTATGATTACTTTGACACGTATTCTCATGTGACAAGAATAAATTCCATTAGGATGATACTAGCAATTGCCGCCTTGCGGAAATTGGAAGTTCATCAAATGGACGTAAAAACCACTTTTCTAAATGGCGATATAGACGAAGAAATCTATATGGAACAACCTGAGAGTTTTCGTGTTCCAGACCAAGAAAAGAAAGTTTGTAAATTAATTAAATCATTCTACGGATTGAAACAAGCCCCTAAACAGTGGCACGAAAAGATCGATCATGCAATGTTAATTAATGCGTTTAAAATAAACGAAAGTGACAAATGTGTCTATGTGAAGAGCACCGTAGACGGTTATGTCATTTTATGTTTATACGTAGATGATATACTCCTCGTGGGTAGCAATAATCTAATGATTAGTTCTACCAAAAGCATGTTAAATTCCAAATTTAACATGAAATATATGGGGCTGGCCGATTTAATCCTTGGGATTAAAATAATTAGAGGGCCGACCGGTCTTACGCTAAGCCAATCCCATTACGTTGATAAAATTCTTACGAAAGTTAACAAGGGTGATTATCAAGAGGCAAGAACGTCATTAGATAAAAACGTACATCTTACCAAAAATTGTGGAGACTGTATTTCTCAAGTAGAATACGCTAGGATTATTGGAAGCTTGATGTATCTAATGAGTTGTACCAAGCCTGATATTGTCTTTGTGGTTAACAAGCTTAGTAGATATACTAGCAACTCCGGTGATGAACACTCGAAGACAATAGTAAGAGTTTTGAGGTATTTACGGAAAACCCAAAACCTTTGACTGCACTATGGAAGAGTTGTACTTGAAGGGTATAGCGACGCTAGTTGGATATCTGACATTAAGGACTCAAAGTCCACAAGTGGGTATGTTTTCACTCTGGGAGGTACAACCGTGTCATGGAAATCCTCGAAACAAACGGTAATAGCTAGATCCACGATGGAATCTGAGCTAATAGCCTTGAAAAAGTGCACTGAAGAGGCTGAATGGCTACGCCATTTTCTCGAGGATATTCCAAGTTGAGAAAAGCTTGTCCCTCCAATATGCATATATTGCGATCGTCATCGTCGTCGTCCTCTTCGTCGTGCAACTAGCGATGTCACAATTATGTTCAAGTTTTTTGGGTAACAAATCATTTTTTAGATAAGTTGTGAAGTCAGTGTGCCATAATTATGTCCAAGTTTTTTGGGACTATGGATATTTTTAATTGGATTAGTCTTACTCCTACACAATATCAAATCAAATCAGATCAGACTTAAACAGATCATAACATACTAGATCAGACTTAAACGATCATAACAGTTTTTAATAGTTGTAAAATACTCATAGAATAGACATGTACTCGATCAGTTCAAACCAGATGAAAAAAATCTTAGTCCAATTCTAAATATCCCACGTGTCATTGTATTTCAAAAGAAATTTAAAGTGACTAATTGATTTGTCCGTTAACCAAAACTTGAAGTCTTGAGGAAAACCATTGATAAGCTTGGTTGAGCCGTTGAGCTAACCATGCAGATAGAACAGATCGATACGTCACACATTCCCGGCCTACTTCTTTCTAGAAACTACCCATCTTCTTCTCCTATCTTACGTCTTCTGCTTCATTCAATATTTCAAAATTTATATATACACTACTCCGTACTCATTTTTTCCTTGCTTAAGGAATTTCATGGGGTGGGGCCTACTCGTCCATCTGCTGACCAGACCTCCCGGATCGGTGGTTCAATGGATCCATGGCGTTTCTATACACACCGGGATGAGTTACCCGTGGCGTATGTTGGAATAATCTTAAATTTAGTTATTAATTATTTGGTTTATTTATTTAAGGTATGTTTTAATTTGTTTTATCCGTACTAAGACTAGGTCAGCTGGGAGTTACGTAGTATTAGGAGTATTTGAATAGTCTGGAGTGATGGAGATAATGGAGGAGTGGATCCTATTTGCCTGCCCATCACTTTTGTTAGTTAGTTTTTTTTTCTCTTCTATATATTTTGTAAGACATAGCATGAAAAGTTACTGCACGGATTAATCATGTTTGCTCAGTTTCAATATATGAAAACGAGCACTTGCTCACAAAAGCTGTCTCATTCATATATATTTATATAGTTTTAGATTTGTCTTTCTTACATTTGGTATCAGAGCCGCATGATCTAGGGCTTGTGAAGTGAAATCTTATACATACACCTATATATATATATATATATATTACGTATTCTATGGCATCAAATAATTTCTCCATCTCTATCCCATTATTCAAAGGTGATAACTATCTTTCATGGGCCATCAAAATGAAAGCATACATGAAAGCTCTTAGTTTATGGGATGTCATTGAGAGTGACAGTGAGCCTACTCCTCTTCCAGGAAATCCAACAGTAGCCCAAATCAAGAAACATGAAGAAGAAATGGCACGAAAGCCAAAGGCACTTTCATGTATCCATGCAGCGGTGTCCGAAGAGATTTTCACAACAATCATGGATTGTGAGTGTCCTAAAGAAGCATGGGAGAAAATTAAAGAGGAGTTCGAAGGCAACCAACAAACCAAACTCATGCAAATTCTCAATTTCAAAAGGGAGTTTGAGATGGCGGGGATGAAAAGTAACGAAGGTGTCAAAGAATATGGGAAAAGGTTGATGTCCATTGTCAAGAATATCAAATTACTTGGTGGAGATTTTTCAAGTCAAAGAGTTGTGGACAAGCTTTTGGTAACTCTTCCGGAGAGATATGAGACTAAGATCTCTTCACTTGAAGATACTAAAGATCTCTCAAAATTAAGTGCCTTGGAATTGATAAATTCTCTTCATGCCGTTGATCAAAGGAGATCAATGAGAGAGGAAGAAAATGGAGAAAAAAATGAGGGACTCCTGTTAACTAAATCTTCATTCTCAAAAGGAACTGGCAACAAAATTCTATGCAATCACTGTCATAAGGTTGGTCATGAAGAAAAGGATTGTTGGCACAAAGGAAAGCCACAATGCTTCAAATGCAAAAGGTTTGGGCATCTGGCAAAGAATTGTAGATTCCAAACTGATGAAGAAGACTTGGCACATTTGGCCGAGGCAGAACCTCTCCTTTAAAATTATGGGTGATTATGTGCACCATGGGGAGAAGTGCTCCAAAGTGTTTATTTTGATGAGACGTGCATCAAAATTTGGTGGTGGTGAGAAGTGCATCACAGATGAAGAGAAGTGCTTCACAAAATTTAAGATTATGGGGGTGATTGTTGGAATAATCTTAAATTTAGTTATTAATTATTTGGTTTATTTATTTAAGGTATGTTTTAATTTGTTTTATCCGTACTAAGACTAGGTCAGCTGGGAGTTACGTAGTATTAGGAGTATTTGAATAGTCTGGAGTGATGGAGATAATGGAGGAGTGGATCCTATTTGCCTGCCCATCACTTTTGTTAGTTAGTTTTTTTTCTCTTCTATATATTTTGTAAGACATAGCATGAAAAGTTACTGCACGGATTAATCATGTTTGCTCAGTTTCAATATATGAAAACGAGCACTTGCTCACAAAAGCTGTCTCATTCATATATATTTATATAGTTTTAGATTTGTCTTTCTTACAGCGTAATTATCTGTTTGTAACTTAACCATCAAATCAGCTTCTCATGATCTCATCGATGTCTTTCAAGGCATACAGGGAGAAAGTCAGGCATATTTAATTTCTTCGTGTTTTAGTTCTTTTATTATTTGTTGTCTTTCTGTTATGCAATAAAAGAAACATAAAGAAAAATAAACAACAATGTTTTTCGGTTTGGTTGAGTTCATCACCGAATAAATTATGCATTATATCTCCTTGGACTTATGAGAGGAGAAAATTATTAAGTTGAGTACTCGAGTTTATCATCAGTTCGAACCCATTTAGTTATGTTTTTATATATTTAAGCATTATATATTTGAAGTGTGTGATTAGCTCATGCACTTGACTATAAGTTGGTGGTTCTATTTAATCAAAATATGATAGATGGTGGTTCTCTCCATATATATATTCAATGGTATAATAGTATATGGTGTTGTATGTTTTTTCTCCGAGTGTAGATTGCTTGGGAATTTTGATGTTTCTATGTCGTTAATGCATAAAAGGCTGCAAATGAGACAACTTTAATTAAAGAAATGGTTCGAAACAAAAGTACACTCATAGCATAGATCGACAAAATGCATGAATAAGAGTAATTATATTTTATTATGAAAATGAGATTTATTTGATACGAAGTACGCATAAATCAATTGTGACCAGACCATATTTGTACACTTTGTCTATGTTTAACACGGAATTTTCTCTTTTAAACATATACGCACGCATCTAGGTAGTAGGATGAGTTTTGTGTGAGAAGAACAAACACGATGAGTTTCGGTTAGTTTGATAATTGTATTGTTGAAATTTTAGACCAAAATGCATGACTGCCATTTTGCAACACTTTTTTTCGTGTTAGTTTAATTTTAATTTTAGTTCTCAAACATGTTTAATAACTTTGTATATATGTTGGTATCTCATTGAGTGTATAATAATAATACGGACTACGAAGTACTTCGTATATATTAATTGTATATGCTTGAATATAACAGTACATACGTGTGAACATGCAAGGAACAAAATGGAAAGATAATATAATGTGCATGAAATATTTGGTGGTATGATGTCATGTAATGGCACCAACTACGATGTTAAGAGCATCTTCTTATCTCGTTTTGTACTCTCATTATTATAATTTGTACAAAGACCTAAAATAAACAACTAAGAATGATGTGTGAGAAATTTGTGTGAAAATAATGAAATGGAAGGTGATAAAGTGTTTTTAGATTAAAATGTTGGAAATGTCTTATAGTAGGTATAATGTTATTATTAATTGTTGGTGCCTTGGTGTTACATTACATGTAATTTAAATTTATTTGTTTTGGGTTGGTCTAATTTGTAATATAATTGAGATAAGCAATGCAATGGAAACATTCTCTAAATTCCATAAAACACGGTATTTTTTAACGTCGATAATGCATTATACCCCAAGGTGATATGTGCACCACATAACCTTTAATTTGTTGAATAAGACATAGTAAAACTGATTCAGTTTGTAATTAATAGGATACATGCAATGGAACATTTAATAGGATGTGTTAATCTGATATCATCTCATCTTTTCATATGAACTAGTTTGGTGAATATCTTTTTGTGAGTTATCGGATTGGGCGTTATCGGATATTGGTTTTGATCTAATATGAAATTTAAATGAATTCAATTAAAAAACACCCTTAATATTTGACCTTAAACCACTTAAATTAAATTTAAAATGATATTTGAGTGGCTTTTGGAATTAGTGGACTCAATTTTTGTTTATAAATTCATTTTTAGTCCTTATAAACTTTTATAGTACAAATGGCACATGAATCAGATAGTGGATATTGTGTGATGGAGATTCGTGAGGAGTAAATATGTATATGTGTAAGAAACATAAATTCTTTACTAAATGAGGGAAAGTGAAAATTTAATAGGAACAAACGAAAAGATATTTAGGTAACTTTACTAAACATCTTGCATAAACTCTTGTGACAATCGCTCTATCAAATATGATGAAATCTGATGTTGCGTTCTTTTACAATAATCTGATGTTGTGTTTTAAGTAAGATAATAATTCGGAACAATTAAAGCTCACAAAGATAGATCAAAGTAGATAACTATTGAGATCAAATTAAATTATGGATAAGCAAATAAGAATATATAGTAGAATATAGTGGATGTAGATCAGATGAGCACATGATTGAACAAAAAAGATCAGGTCCAGCCCTCCCCGGTCCAGCCGCCGTCCGAACTCCGCCGTTTGGGGCGGTTTCCGGTGGAAACCGATCCTTCAAGTGGTTTTTCGGTTCGATGAGAAACCAAATGAATTTCGAAAAACTTGACTATGGCTTTGTTGGAAATAAGTGAAGGAAGATTTGGAAAATTGTGAGGCTAAGTTGAAATATTATGGAAGAGATATTTAAACGAAGGGGAAGAACTCTTATTATTAGAACAAGGCCGAACAACTCAATTTGCTTGATTTGTTTTTCTTGATACAAAGTGATGGTGGGTGGAGCTCTATTTATACTAGTACAAAAATATCTAGACTCTTCTACAATTAATACATTCTACATAATTCTACCCCATTAATGATAGGAAACACATCTTCTAGAGAAGCTCTAGAATTTATTCCTTCTACATTTTTCTACTACTTGGCCCTTTCCAACAACTAAAATAAATATTAATTAGGCCCAAAATATTAAAATAAAAACAAGTTTAATTTTCAACATCCCCCCTTAAACTTGTTTTTGAAACTCCGAGCATGGTCCTCAACTTTCGGAAATCTTCATGCTTGAGTGGCTTCATGAAAATGTCGGCGATTTGATCATGGGACCTTACATACCTCACTTCAACCTCTTTTCTTTCAATGCATTCCTGAATGTAGTGATAGAGGGTATCAATGTGCTTGATTCGGTCATAAAATACTTGATTCTTTCCCAATGCTAATGCGGACTTATTATCCACAAATATCTCCGTAGCTTCCTTTTGTGTCATGCCTATTTCTTTGAATAAATTCCGGAGCCATATAGCATGACACACACATGAGTTGGCGGCAACATATTCGGCTTCACATGTAGAGAGGGTCACAATTGGTTGCTTCTTTGAACTCCAAGTAAAAGTCGTATTCCCCATAAGAATGACAAATCCGGTAGTACTCTTACGATCATCAACATCTCCGGCCCAATCACTATCACTATACCCAACAAGCTTGAAATCTTTGCAAGAATTGTAAAACAAGCCAAAGTTAAGAGTATATTTGATGTAGCGAAGAATTCTCTTGGCGGCCTTCCAATGAGAGGTTCTTGGATCTTCCATATATACCGGCTAATGAAACCAACCCCGTACAAAATGTCCGGTCTTGTACAAATCAAGTATCGTAAGCTCCCAACTAAGCTCTTGAACATTGTGGGTTCCACTTTTTCAAATACTTGGATAATTTTACCCCACAATCCACCGGTGTGTTGATTGGATTACAATCATCCATTTTAAACTTCTCAAGGATTTTCTTTGCATACCCTTCTTGACCGATAAAAATTCCACTCTCACTTTGTTTTACTTCAATTCCCAAATAATAAGACATTAAGCCCATATCGGTCATTTCAAATTCTTGACTCATTGCCCTTTTGAAATTCTCAAATAAATTGGGATTATTTCCCGTGAATATTAAATCATCAACATAAAGGCAAACAATCAAGATATCTTCATTTTCCTCCTTTTTAACATAAAGGGCATGTTCACGGGGACAACTTATAAAATTATTCACTTGGAAATACTTATCAATTCTAGTATTCCAAGCTCTTGGAGCTTGCTTCAAACCATAAAGTGCCTTTTTCAATTTTAGAACTTTGTCTTCATTCCCTTTTATTTTATATCCCGGTGGTTGCTCCAAATAAACTTTTTCTTCTAATTTTCCATTTAAAAATGCGGATTTCACATCCATTTGGAAAATTTTCCATTTATTTTGAGCCGCCAAAGAAATTAAAAATCTTATAGTTTCCAAACAAGCAACGGGAACAAATACCTCATCGTAGTCAATGTCAGTTCTTTGGTTGTAGTCTTTCGCAACCAATCTTGCTTTGTACCTTTCAACTTCCCCCATGGCATTCTTCTTTTCTTTAAAAACCCATTTTGCACCAATTGCTTTGTGCCCTTTGGGTAAGATGGCCAATTCCCACGTATCATTTTTTATGATGGCCTTTCATTTCTTCATCCATGGCTTCCCTCCAATTCTTGTCATTAGCCGCTTCTTCAAAACCTATTGTTCACAATCAGCAAGAAGACAAAACAATGTTAGATCATTTATATTTTCGGTTACCTCATAAAGCTCTTGTATGCTCCTTAAGCGAGGCGGCCTTTCATTTGAGGTGTATTCACTTGTTGATCCTTCTTGCTCGGATGATGGTGGAGTTTGACTCGTGGGCTCTTCATGGGCTAGCTCTTGCTCCTCTTCTTCTTCATCGTAGTAAGGCAAGAAATTAGTCTTCTTCTTTTTGAGTCCATTCCCATGTGCTCTCTTCATCAAACTCAACATCGCGGCTAATCACAATTCTTCCATTGTTTGGGTTGTATAGCTTGTACCCCTTTGCTCTTGCATCATAGCCAATAAAGATAAACTTCTCACATTTATCATCCAATTTGCTCCTTTTTTGGTCCGGTACATGAGCATAAGCAATACTCCCAAAAACTTTCAAGTGGGCAATTCTGGGCTTTCTTCTACTCCATGCTTCTTCGGGGGTTTTGTTCCACACACTTCGAGAAGGGGATCGGTTTGACAAATACACCGCACAATCCACGGCTTCGGCCCAAAATTCTCTTGGAACATTTTTGCTCTTGAGCATGCTTCGAACCATTTTACGTAGAGACCGATTTTTCCTTTCAACGACTCCATTTTGTTGTGGAGTATATGGAGCCGTTAAGGGGCAATGAATGCCATTTTCTTCACAAAAATTTTCAAATTCCTTTGATGTGAATTCCCCTCCGCGATCGGATCTCATGGATTTTATTTTAAACCCGCTTTCATTTTCAACAAGAGCTTTAAATTTCTTGAAGGCCACAAAAACGTCGGATTTTTATTTTAGAAAATAAACTCATGTTTTCCGACTAGAATCATCAATGAAAAGAGCAAAATAATTACTATTTCCAAGAGAGATTGGTTTAATTGGTCCACATATATATCTGTGTGTACAAGCTCTAATGGTTTTTTTGCTCTTGTAGATGCTTGCTTTGGAAAACTTTTCCTTGGTTGCTTTCCAAATAAACATCCCTCACACAATTGATTAGCTTCATTTATTTTGGGCAATCCTTTCACCAAATCTCAAATGCCAAAGCCAAGATGCATTTTTAAAACATGCTTTCAAACATTTAGCCCCCCTTTTCAATGTTTAATGAAAACATTCTATTTCTTGACATTGGTACTTTAGCAACCAAAACTCCATTTTTATCTCTCATCAAAAGGGTATGATTTTTCATGTGAATATCATATCCTTTTTCTAAAAGTTGTCCCAAACTTAAAATGTTTGATTTCAAGTTGGGCACGTAGTAGACATTAGAGATGAAATCACTCTTTCCATTTTTCAGCCGGATTGAAACTTTTCCCTTTCCTTTTACCGGAATTTTTTATTCATCCCCATAATAAATTTTTTCACTTACCGAATCATCAAGTTCGACGAACATATCTCTCTTCCCGCACACGTGGTTGCCAGCTCCCGTGTCTAAGTACCAAGTCGTTTTGGTGTCACTTTCTTTTCTATTATGGGCCATCAACAATGTTGAATTTTCTTCTTCCTTGGCAAAATTAGTCCGCTCCATAACTCTATTTTTTTTTTTTTTGCCAATCTACAATCGGAGGCATAATGACCAAATCTTTGACAATTATAGCATTGAACTTGAGGTTTATCATACCTTGGTCTTGAAAACCCCTCTCTTCCTCGGCATCTAGTTGGATAGAAATTTGGACTTCTTTCTTCAATGTTGAAGGTCTTGTAGCCACCTCTTCCATAGCTTTGACTTCGACCCCCTCTTGAATTTTGATTTCTTCCATCTTGAAAAGTCTCTTTATGCCTTAGGGTGAGCTTGGTTTGAAGGGCTTGCTCCAATGGCTCTTCTTTTATTCTCTTCTTGAATTTTTCTTCACGAGCTTGAAGAGATCCAAGAGTTGATCGACCGTCATAGTTTCTAGATCTTTAGATTCCTCTATTGCCACAACTATGTAATCATATTTTGGATCTAAAGATCGTAGAATTTTTTCAACCACTCGGTTGTCTTTAATTTCTTCTCCATTTCTTCTCATTTGAGTAACGACGCCTTGAACTCTTGAGAAATATTCATCAATGGATTCCGAAAAATTCATTCTTAATGATTCAAACTCACCTCGAAGAGTTTGGAGTCTTACCTTCTTCACCTTATCTACTCCTTTGAAAGAATTCTCCAATATCTCCCAAGCTTCTTTACTTGTAGTTGCACACGCCACCTTTGTGAACATAGCTTCATCCAAAGCTTGATGAATGATGGAGAGCGCCTTTTGATCTCTCTTTTTAATATTATTAAATGCATTCTTTTTAGTTTGATTTGAAGCGTTGACGTCCGCGGGTTCCTCGAAGCCTTCCTCTATCATGTCACATACATCTTCCGAACCAAGTATTTTCTTCATACGAATGCTCCAATTATCATAGTTCTCCTTTTTTTAGTAGAGGAACTTGAAGGGAATCGGCCCTTTTTGGGTAATGACCGAACGGGCTCTGATACCACTGTTGGAAATAAGTGAAGGAAGATTTTGGGAAATTGGGAGGCTAAATTAAAATATTACGGAAAAGATATTTGAACAAAGGGGAAGAACTCTTGTTATTAGAACAAATCAATTTGTTTGATTTGTTTTTCTTGATACAAAGTGGTGGTGGGTGGAGTTCTATTTATACTAGTACAAAAGTATATAGACTCTTCTACAATTAATACATTCTACATAATTCTACCTCATTAATGATAGGAAAATTCTAGAGATCACATCTTCTAGAGAAGCTCTAGAATTTATTCCTTCTACATTTTTCTACTACTTGGCCCTTTCCAACAACAACTAAAATAAATATTAATTAGGCCTAAAATATTAAAATAAAAACAAGTTTAATTTTCAACAGGCTTCGCATTGAAGCAGCCTTGGCCACCTATCCAACTCTTAATCGAAGGGGCAAATATATAGACATACAAGGAGTAAATCATCCGTTTCAATCAGTGTGGGGACTTTTCAAAAGCTTTAGAAAATTAACTAGAAAAGAACTTGTAGGAAGGGGGAATCGAACATGCTAAACCACTGGGTTCAGGCCTCAGGAGGTTGCATCAACAAGTTATTGATAATAGGACTTAAACTGTTTTTATTACTTAATTTGCTATGAAATATATAGAGTAATAAATATCACGTAATAAAATTTGGTTCAGTTTGCACCGGTTTTAAACCACAACAAAACATCTTTAAGTCGATTCATGTCCAGGTCCAGGCTTTCGATTCACATTCAAGTCGGTTTGATTTCGGTTCAGTTTTTTTGTTAATTAATTCGGTTTTCGGTTTTTCAGTTTAAAATGTCATCCCTAGAAAAGATTACTTAGCCAATTAGGAATATTTAATGAAGGGTTTATACAAATGCTTTCTGACAAAGACTGTTATTAGCATGGCAAAAATCCAGTATATCACCATAAAAATAAGTATATTGACAAAGACAGACACTTCACTATTGAGAAAATAGATAACTCCATAATTTAAACCTCTTATATATTCCATCAGAATTTCAAACTGATGCCATTATTACCAAGATTCTACCGAGATCCATTTTTGAAGATATAGTGAGCAAGCTTGGTTGATCCAAATGAGGTCAAACGAGGTCAAGAGTTGTAACTGATGGTTGATCCAAATGAAAAGGTTAATGAACAAGAGTATAAACATGGTTCGTCAAAGGACTATTACATGAAGGTTTAGCGCAGGAGAGCTACTAAAACTACATGAAGCGGTTTAACAAAAGGATTCAAAATCGATGAATATGCAAGTCCAACTAATTATAATTATTGAGTGAATGATATAGTTCTAGATGTTGAAAATCAGAGTACTACAACTTCACCCCTTTTTGCAAAAAAAAAAAGTAAAAAAATGATGCCAACGCTATCGAAAAGATACTAAGTAAAACGAAAAGCCAAATCAAATGAGTGAACCAGCACTAGAATTCATTAAGCTTAGAGCCGTTAGAAGGCTAGCAAGGTCTATTCCTTAATGGTTTTATGCCACATTTGAGGCCAAGACTATTCCTAATGGTACTCAACATTATCAATCCCAAATCTTTGGTCATTATATTTCAATCGTGATGACTGATGAGAGCATTGTGATAATCACAACTCCATTCAGATCTAAATCGGGTGTTTAATTATTTTAAGCTTTGTGATAATCATAACTCCATTCATTGAGAATAGATGCTTAACCCTATGTTTCAAACTTGTAACTTTGTAAGCCTTCAGGAATCAGGACCAATACAAGGCCTGTATATGATTAGATTGAATAATCCAGAAATCCAGACTCATTTACTCCAATGCTATAGACTAGAGTGTAGAGTATAGACTCATTTAACTGCCAATATAAGGTTATCCAGAAATCCGTTTAAAGTTTTGTAAGGGTTAAAAAATTAGATTGAATTGTAAAAGAGTTGAAAAGTTCAAGTGAATCCCAAACCAAATTCTAATGTATAACAACTTGATTCTAAAAAATATATAATAAACAATGCTGACCAAGAAAAGTAAAGATGAATATTAATTTAAACACTAGTTATCATAGCAAAATTATAAAACTGTGGGGTTTGAACTTGTTTTATACATTCTACTCGTGCATCACAAGGATAAGCTTAGATGTACACCATTTCCCGTTAAATAGAAAAAATAAAATGGAAACCTAGGAGCTGAGGGGCATTAAATGTAATCAGAACAGTTCACATTCTTTAATTACCAATATTTATGCAATGAACAACTCAACTGTTTCTGCATCTGACATACATAAAATAGTTTTACATTGCGTCTCTGCTATGGCACTCTGACAATGTTTTGCAATCTTACAACATAATTTTACATATAAATGAAGTTCTACAATATTTGTAAAGATAATTGCAACAAGATAAATTAACTTGTGCACTGTTTGAAAATAAATAAATTCAATTGACTTATTTCACTGGGAGACTTCAGCCGGAGACATTTGATCTACCGGTGACCCAACAATTTCCCCATATTCCTCTGGCAAAGAAAAAGTTGAGCTTACGCCAGACAAACCTTTGAAGGCCAAGGCCAACGAGTAACCTAAAGCTTTTCCGACGGGTACAGCAACTGCATTTCCAACTTGTATGTACCTATGTTTTACATAGCACAGAGAAAGTTAAATGAATCAAGTTTTGGCAAAAATGCATCCACTAGCATCCACTAGTTAAATGAAAGTTAAATGAATTGGTCAAGAAGTTACCTTTCTTTAATAGGGCCATAAAGTTTATAGTAATCAGGGAAACCTTGTAACCTAGCATTTTCCCTGATTGTGAGAACTCTATCTTGAAGAGGATGCACGATGGCCTGAGGCAAGGTAAATACTTGTTATAGGAAACATTTCCGTGGCTTGATAACTTATGATATGTCTATATAATTAAATTAGAATAATCACCCATGCCATGTTAAGGGTTGGTTTGCAACTTCTTTTAAAAAAGCACTTCTAACTTTTGGCTTTAAAAAAGCACTTATTTTCCCAAACACTAAAACTTTTTATTTTTCTCGGCTTCCATGTCAAAAGTGTTTTTACTTTTTCTATTACACAAAAAGCACTTATTTTACCAAACATTACCCACTTTTACTTTTCAAAATCACTTTTTTCTCAAACACTATCAACTTTTATTTAATCACTTTTCCCCATTTCATTAAAAAAAGAACTTTTTTAAAAGCAGAAGCTCTTGCAAACAGACCCTAAAAGTCAATCATTGCTATCTGCACCTTAAGCCCAATCAATAATGAAATACATGGAGATGTAAAACAAAACATAAACTTGCAAACTCTTGCAGTTGAGCTAGTTAGTCTTTGCATGAAATGCATTTTGCGCACAAATAAGTGGTAATAAAGCAACCTAACACAATAAGCAATGCTAAAAGGACAAAATACTTATGTTAACTTCTATTAATGCTTTTAATTAATGTTCAATATTTATGAACAAATGAAGCAGTATTACTTCTAATTAGTTTTCTGTTGCTTAAAATGACTACCTAATTACTAAATTTCTACTCAGTACAGCCTTCACACAACCACCCAGCCTCTATACCTATGGAGGCAGCAAATTACAGAAAATCTATAAAATGGTCGCCTGAAAAAATCATTGTCAAAAAGTGCTGGAAATAGGACTGATCAGTCATAGTAAAATGTGGAATGGTATCACAGTGGTGGATTAATTTTTCAATAAATATAATTGTTAATGTGTTACGCCCTACGTATTTTAAAGTTTGCTACATTTTCCTTTCTGGGATTTATTTAAAAGTTTACTACACTTTTCTTTTTTGGTAACTTTTCCCTTTAAAAATACTCAACTACTCTTACTTTTTATCTTCTCTTTCATATTGTTAGTTACACATTATGAAATACTTTTTCTACACTGTTCATTACCCCTACTACTTACTCATCAAGTAATGTGTCAAAGCCTATTGTAGCAAACTTTAAAATACAATGATATAATATTTCTACCTGGTTGTGCGGCTCAGCCCTTGTGACAACAGTAGGGACTGTTTCATCCCACCATAATCTTCTAAATGGCCTGCATATAATGAACATAAGAACACTATTAATGAATTAAGGCTATTTTGTGGTTTGCTTTCAAAGTTTTTAAAAAAATCATGAAGACTAAATTTAATTAAATAAAGTGATTAAAAAGTCGAAACTACATACTTTGAGGACGTGCCGTTCACAAATGTCATTGCATAGTCAGGTACCTGAAAGTTAAGAGGGCACATAGGGTCAACTAAATGAAAGTAATAGGTGAAGAATGAAGATAATTCTAACGAGCATAACAAAATCATACCAAAGGTTTCCCTGAAGGCAAATAGACCCTCTCAACATCTTGGTCCCACTGCACCTTTTTGGCTACGACCTTAACACCAGGCAAATCCCTAAAATTTGCTCCCTGTATTATGTATAAATAAAAACAATAGGTGAGAGGATTAAGCATAAAAGAAACACTCTTATTTATGAACAGGATTCATAATCTACTCTTATTTGCAGTAATTTCTCTTTTTGTTACCTTTCTTTTGGGAATGTGACAGACACGTTGATAATCATCATCATTTAATTGTAGGGGACGGTGATCATGCAGAACTTTTCCAGGCATACCTAGCATCAAAGATCTTGCACCGTGAACACAGAAATAAAATAAAAGCCTCAGCATATCAGGTTAATAAAACTTAATTCGAGCCTATTATGTATCTCTCCAGGAATTGGTGAAATAATGGCTTGGCAGCACCTTGGAAAACTGTGTACACAAATCCTTGAGTTTTCATTTCTCGTTATATTTTTTGTTTTCATATAAATTGAAATGAAAGGAGGAAATAACAATACAATGAGTTAGGACTAACCATCCCTCCCAAGTCTTATAAGTTGTTGGAACTCGGTCACGGGCTCATTAGCATACTCCATATCATCTCTTTGTTCATTATTCTCCACCTATGAAGTATCATATAGAGTAAGTTACAACTATGACTAGAACAAAAACAAGTTGCTGATGCATAGAATATTTTTCTACACAATCAGCACATGTTCCCGTGGTTTTGATATTTGATAGACAATGCTAGCACGCATGAAGTTGTGTCACAATTGTGCGAAAAGTGGCACTTTCTTGATGAAATTCAAGTGACATGACATACCAGGGGGAGATCTGATATTGCATCCCCAAGGAAAAGCTCTTTCTTCAAACTCACATCGGGACTTTCGTAAGTAACATAATTTAGCTGAAACCAGGCAAGGATCGTTTGTAGGCTCAGTAGTACATCAACAGATATTAAGATTTTGAATTTTTTTAACATGCATGAGCATATATTAGGGAATATACCTCAAACTCGGTAGGAACAACACCTCTAAAAACAACTTTATTTGTTGGTAGTGGGTATTGTGGCAACTTCTGCAACGTGAATAGTCCGTTAGTTCAAACAGAAGTTATAACCCTCTAGCTAAAAAGGATGTTATAGATTTCTATGTTCAAGTAAAACGAGATCTCATGTCAAATTAAATAGATAAAAGAATATGTTGAAAAGTAGAAATGTCAAAACATGTCAAATTATGAAATTGATCACAAATTTGAAACAGGCAAAAAAGGAAGAATTTGGAGGTAGCAGAAGTCTCCTAAATCTTCTAGCTTTGGCTTGAGACAATTATTTATCAGAGATGAATCAAGAGATCTCATTACCTCGCCTTGAAGGGAACCCCACATAAAGACACGCATACGGAATTGTGGCAGTCCATATGACCCAGCCGCCATCATTCCTAGCCGTGCCTGATAATTCATCCCTACAAGCCGGCTTAACCCATATCTCCCCAAGAAACCATTTGAAAATTTCAAAAGATCAACGACATTTTCCATTAAAACAAATCTTGGTCTCAAGAAATCAACCATGTCCATGAACACTGTTAGCTGCTTGTTTTTAGGATCCTGCAAAGGATTCTTTGAGTTCCTGAAACGGTTGAAACCACTGATCCCTTGACAAGGAGGACCTCCACATATAACATCAACATGTCCCTAAATTAAAAGCACAAAACAAAATTAACTTGTAACAGTTACTGCAAACAAGGAATTGATAAGCCAGTTGAATTGTTGGACGTAGCAAAAGACTTACAGGCAAAGGCAACATTTTCTCTTTAAAGCCATTGACCACAAACTCCTTAATTTTTTGGGGGCAATCGCTTTAAGACATAAGATGAAGAAAAAACTATTGATATAAGTTAGATGATAAAATTCACCGTAGAGATCTTCTCATACGAATGGTCTATTAATAGTCTTTGTACAAAAGAGTTCTAACTATCTACCAATTCTAACTAGTTACACGTGTGAATTAAAACTAGGCTAGATACATAGTAGGTTAGAGCAATACTAGGAAACCATGCGGCAATCACTCATGTGATATACACGGCCAGTATGTGATAAGTACAAAATATAATGTTACATATTTTATTTAATTGGCTAACACTCCCCCGCAGTCGAAACGTGAGATGGGAGAACGTTGAGACTGGTCCGGAATTCATCAAATAAGATTCTGGGCAGACCTTTGGTAAAAATATCGGCGAATTGGCGGCGAGAAGGAATATGAAGAACACGAACCTCTCCGCGAGCCACTTTTTCCCGAACAAAATGAATATCCATTTCGATATGTTTAGTGCGTTGGTGTTGAACCGGATTGCCAGTCATATACACAGAGCTGATATTGTCACAATACACAAGTGTAGCTTTACGGATAGGGCAACGGAGTTCTACTAAAATGTTACGAAGCCAGCATGTTTCTGCCACCACATTGGCAACCCCTCGATACTCGGCTTCGGCACTAGAGCGGGATAAAGTAGGCTGTCGTTTGGAGGACCAAGATATAAGGTTATCACCTAAGAAAACACAGTATCCAGATGTAGAACGCCGGGTGTCGGGGCAGCCTCCCCAATCTGCGTCGGTGTAGGAGATAAGGTCCGTAAGAGGAGAGGGGCTGAGGTGAAGTCCGAGAAGTGCCGTGCCCTGAAGATAACGAAGAACCCGTTTTAAGGCATTGAAATGGGAGTCCCGTGGATCATGCATGAACAAACAAAGTTGTTGGACGGCGTAGGAGATGTCGGGCCGTGTGAAAGTGAGGTATTGGAGTGCCCCAGCTAGGCTGCGATAGAGTGTAGGATCTGTGACGGGAGGACCGGTGGATGCACTCAGTTTAGAATTTGTGTCGACCGGTGTACTGACCGGTTTGCACTCTGCCATTCCCGCCCGACGTAAAATATCACGAATATATGTGGACTGTGATAAAAACAAGCCTGAGGAGTTCCGTGTGACTGCAATACCGAGAAAATAAGACAAGGGTCCTAAATCACTCATAGAGAATTCGGCGGCCAATTGGGTGATGATGGACTGGCGGAATTCATCGGAAGAAGCTGTAAGAATTATGTCATCCACGTAGAGCAGGATATAAGCAGTGTTGCGGCCCTTATGATATATGAAAAGAGAATGGTCACACGTGCTGTGGAAGAACCCGAGCTTAGCAAGATAGGATGCAAACCGGTGATACCAAGCGCGAGGCGCTTGTTTAAGACCGTATAAAGATTTGATGAGACGACAAACATGATTAGGACGTAACCGATCTCGATACCCCGGCGGTTGATACATATATACAGTCTCCTCTAAACGGCCATGGAGAAAGGCATTTTTGACGTCGAGTTGGTGAAGCGGCCAAGATTGAGAAAGAGCAATGCTGAGTACAAGACGAATCGTGGCCGGTTTAACAACCGGGCTGAAAGTTTCATCACAATCAACACCGACTTGTTGAGATTTGCCATTGACGACGAGCCGAGCTTTGTGACGTTCCAAGACACCGTCAGACCTGTATTTATGTTTAAAAAGCCACATGCAACGAATAATATTGGCGTTAGGTGGACGGGGAACCAACTCCCACGTCTCATTCTTAATTAAAGCACTAAACTCATCATCCATGGCGGATTTCCAATTAGGGTCTTGGAGGGCTGTAATCGGGGAGCGGGGTAAAGGTGACGGAGGGGAAGACACGGTTAACGTGAAAATTTGTTTGGGTTTTGTAATCCCAGCCTTACTGCGAGTTTGCATGGGATGGGAGGGAACATTGGGTTTGCATGGCACCGTAGAATGTGGGGGTGAATTTAGTGGACTTTGGGAAATTATGAGAGGGTTATGGTGGGCAGGAGGTGATGGATGGTCTGGAGGGTTTTGGTTGGTGGGGGGTGAGGCGTGAGCCGAGGTGGAGGATGGAGGAAAGGACTCTGGAAGAAAAGGCAGGAGACGTGTAATGGATGATGACTCATCCAAAAAATTATAATTGGGTGTACTGGACGAGCCAGGAATTTTGAACGGTAGGATAGTTTCGTCAAATGTGACGTGACGAGATATAATAATTTGATTTGTGCGTAGATCAAAACATTTGTACCCTTTGTGGTTGAGAGGGTAACCGAGAAAAACACACGGGGTAGAGCGAGCTTCGAGTTTGTTAATGGTAACGGATGGAAGGTGAGGAAAACAGAGACACCCAAATATTTTGAGGTGATCATATGTTGGGGTTTTGCGGTATAGCAAATGGGTTGGGGAGAGAAAATTGAGGGGTTTGCTAGGAAGTATATTGTGTAGGTAAGTAGCCATATGTATGGCGTGAGGCCAGAATTGAGGGGGGACGGAGGCGTGAAGCAATATAGTCCGTGCAATTGTATTGATAGTTCGAATATAGCGTTCAGCCGAGCCGTTTTGGGGAGATGTATATGGGCAAGAGAAACGGAAATGAATACCATGTTTTTGGCCAAAGGAACGAAATGCAAAATTATCAAATTCCTTGCCGTTGTCACATTGAATAATTTTAATGTTACGTTCGAATTGTGTTTGAACATAAGCATGAAAATTAACAAAAGTGGTGAATGTATGAGACTTGGATGTTAAAGGAAAAATCCAAACAAATTTAGTATAATCATCAACACAAATTAAATAATAGTGATGACCATTAGAACTAAGCACGGGAGATGTCCATAAGTCACTGTGTATTATTTCAAATGGAGAATGAGTAACTGAAATAGAAGAAGAAAAAGGCAATTTTGTATGTTTGCCAAGTTCACACGAATGACATAAAGAATTATGCAAACGAGTACATGGAATAAATTTATTTGTTCTAAGAAAACTAAAAACGGGATCCCCGGGATGGCCTAGCCGGTGATGCCAGGTATCGGCCGAGGCAGTAAGAAAGGCTGAGTGAGATGATCTCGGAATGATAGGCTGGAGAGGGTAGAGATCGCCCGTACTATTACACCTCATGAGTTGTTGGCCCGTGCGGAGATCCTTCACAGAAAAACCAACGGGGTCAAATTCAACAGACACAGAGTTATCAATAGAAAAACGACGAACGGAAATAAGATTTTTAATGAGGGAAGGGGCATGAAGAATATTTCGTAGTTTGAGGGGAGGGTGAGGAGGAGAGAGGTCGGTTTGGCCAAGACCCGAAATGGGTATGGTGTTACCATTACCAACCATAATGAATTGTTTAGTACCTAAATTAGAAAGAGATGTGAGAGTACCTGAGTCGTTGGTCATATGAGATGTCGCCCCGGTGTCCATATACCAATTATTGTCCGGTGGAGTGAGCGTCATGGTGTGCATGGCACTGTTGACGTCGGTGAAAGAGGGTGCCGGACCGGAAATATGTGCTTGCTGTGGACGGGCTCCAAGAATGCCTGGACTAGAGTTAGGCCGAGTGGAAAACTGACCATTCCATGCAGTAGTCGGATATGGGCAAGGCGGCATGGCCCAAGGTGAGGGCGGCATCCAATAAGCCCATGGTGGTGGGGACGTCCAAGCGTTTGGTGGAGGGGGTTCGGGCCTTGGTGTGCCACGCCCGCCACGTCCACGTCTGCCGGAGGATGAACCGCGACCACCGCGGCTGGGCTGATTCGGGCGAGGGGCAGACGGCGTCACACCGGACTGCTGGGATGGTGAGCCATGAATGAAGGCACTGGCAGAGGAAGCGCCCAGTTGATGTACCTTGCGAGTTTCATCAAGCAGGATCATTGAACGTGCAGTCTGAAAGGTAGGCAAAGGTGTGGCCTGTTGGATTAGAGATGCTACGGTGTCGAATTGGGCGGAAAGGCCGTTGACCAGCCGAAGAACCAAGCGCTCGGGGGTGACCGTAGATCCAACATTGTGTAATTGATTGGCCAAAGTTTTGAGGGAGCGACAATAAGCGGCGACATTAGGAAAATTCTCCAAACGAGTGTTGGAAAATAAATTTTCCAAATGGACGGCACGAGAGTGCTTATTGTCAAGAAAAATGTCCGTGAGGCGATCCCAAGCCTCTTGAGCAGTGGCGTCGGGCTCAAGTATGGTATGGAGGAGATCATGTGAGATTGTTCCGTATATCCATTGAAGGACAACGGCATCCAACCGATTCCATAGGGCGGCGGCCTCGGCCTTGGCAGCGGCCTGAGCCAAGAGTTCTTCCGGGGAAGGGGTATCGGTGGTAGAGGATGATGTAGAGGCAGAAGTAGTGGTGGAGGGGATGATATGATCGAGAACTTGATATGCGCGAGCTGTGATTTTAAACAACTCGGCCCATGACGAATATTCAACGTTCTCCATATCTAAAGTAATAGGGATGAAATTTTTGATGTTGGAAATAGCAAGGGCAGGGTGAAAAGCGGAAGCTTTGGAGGTAGCCATTAATGGAGAAGAAGGAAAAAATAGCTACTGATACCAAGTTAGATGATAAAATTCACCGTAGAGATCTTCTCATACGAATGGTCTATTAATAGTCTTTGTACAAAAGAGTTCTAACTATCTACCAATTCTAACTAGTTACACGTGTGAATTAAAACTAGGCTAGATACATAGTAGGTTAGAGCAATACTAGGAAACCATGCGGCAATCACTCATGTGATATACACGGCCAGTATGTGATAAGTACAAAATATAATGTTACATATTTTATTTAATTGGCTAACAATATATTAACACGATAATATAGATTATTAATAGTAAGTTACAAGTTCTCGAATATACCTTAAACCCTCTATGGGTTCCCATGTGTCATAATCTGCAGTATAACCCTTCCAGTGTATCTGGGAAAAAAAGTTAACAACTGTAAGAACATCTATTATCAAGATCTTCTGAGGACAAATGAGGCTTACAAAAGCTTCAAACTTGTACCAGGATGGAACCTTACAAAAGCTTCAAATTTCTACCTTAAAGTATAGACCAGGCTTTTTCAATTCTTTAGGGTCTCCATAACAAACATCCAAAATATGCTCAACCTCATACACTTCATCTACTCCATCTACATTACTCTCATCAACATTGTCATCATCATCATTTTCTTCTTCTTCTTCGTTGCTTGAAAGATTCAAATGAGGGTGCGGGGGACAGCTGCTTTTTATTAACAAGCAAGAGACACAAAGCTGTTGCCATTCCTTCAAAAGAGACAGGAAATCTTCAGCTGGCTCATTCCTCACCTGAAATGATCACAGCGCATATTTCAATCTAATACTAAAATAAATGAATGAGTAAAAAAAGTTGGTGTTACAAAAGAAAAAGGACTTGGAGAGAATATAAGATGTTACATTTGTCTCCGGGTGGTTTTTCCTCAAACTCTCACATGCATATTGATTCAAATCAACAGCCCATTTCTGCATTCAGATTATCATGATACCTGTCAATAGGAATTGTAGCTTGGCGATTGGCAAAGATAAGATTTTTCAAAAGCTATTGCAACTTACAGTGACCAAATTAATGCCACTTTCCTTTGCTCCTAAGCATAACCCAGTAGACATCCCACCACAGCCAGAGTACAAATCCAATAGAGTCTTTTCTGAATTGTGCTCTTTTGCTTCTACCACATCCTGGTCACTAGAGATGGTAGAACTGGAATCACTAGGAACTGTAAAATCTGCATATAATTTGGGTTTACACTTTCACAAGTTATCAATTAAACTTTTTTAAAAATGAGTATTGCGAGTTGAACAGAAACTTAAAAATATCCTATATATTACCAGGAGGAAGGTTCAAAAATGTTGAGAAGGGAACCAAATACATCATATCACAGTAGAAATCACAATCAGATCGAATGTTCTCCCTTGAATTAGAATTTCCCTGAGATAAAATTCAAAACTTATTAATTCTTTCACAGCAAAATTTTCTGGGTTTTTTACATGAATATTACTAAAATAAAACATATTTACATAAATATGACTATTCATTACTACAATGTGGTGTTGTGGTAACTTAAGCTCAAAATTTGAACATGAATTACTATGATTTCATTACTACTCTAGTCAATAATCATATTTTTGTAAATCATCTTTATTTTGGTCATATTTATATAATTATTTCAAATTTTCTTGCTTAATTAGTAATAGATTGAAAGAATATTGCCTTTTACTAATTATTTCGTAAATAGTAAACAGAAAAATAAGCATTTAATACAATTTTTCTGTGTAAATTATAAGTTTACATGCATAGTAAATTAGTAAAGTGGCAACATACATTGTAGGGTATACGTTGAATATTGACTTTTTGAACTAAGCAACCAATATTGTTATCATCCTTGACTTCGGAAAAGAAGACTCGCCGTTTGTCCACAAACTCATCACATGATTTGATAACCTAACAGAAAAACTCGGTTAGATTGTCAATTGGAATGATAAAATTAAGATTAAACCCCATTTGACAAAGAATTTCAAGTTCTTACGGTGTCCTTGGCTCTGTAGTACCATTGAGCTGTAAAATACCGCACACCATCAAGTGATTCAAACATTTCGATAATTTTGCATATGTAGTTGTCTTCCCCCTCACCAGCCTGAAAGATTTATGAAAAACATATACTCTAATAAATTTAGATTATTCAGTGGCAATATCAAGATTCATTTTTATAAGATTGTTAAGATCAAATTTTAAGTAACATATCAAGTCATTGACACATGCTTAAGGCATGAACCTGAGAAGACATTACAACATGAGAAATCTTAAGGGGTTTGTGCATCATTGTATATGTTTTTTAAGGAAAAGTACTAAAAACTATTAACAGCGCTAGGTGATTATGGAACCGAGTCCAGTACAAGTATCAGCCATTAACTGCTACAAACTGTACCGATGGCATTACTTTTCATACATATTAGATGTGGCCGGCCTCAACATAATGGACAGGTTGAGTGTAAAAACCTCATGTGCATCTCACTGTGGTGCACCTTTTGCACTGCCTCAGCATAAAATGTCCTTTGAAATATTATTTCGCATTTCCACTTATTTGGTGGTCTTTATTTTATTCGTAACCAAAAGGCTAAAAATGAAAACTTTGTTAGCAGTCGTAAATGCAATTTTTTGGATTTGCTTTTGGGAGAAAGGTTGCAATTTGTTCGATGTTGAGGAATACTTCAGCTCCAATGTGTTTTATCGAACAAATTTTCATTTGCGGATCCTCTTTCCTTAGAACCGACCCTGAATGCTTCAATCGCAAGACGTCTTTTTGGGTTATCAGCCATCCATCCCTTAGGATTCGTAGATTTTTCAAACTCCTTTCAGAGCCAATGTTTCGGTACAGCCGACGAGCCACTCATGGAATGCGTATCAAACTCGTGTAATAGCTCTAAATTGCTATTAGGAGTAGTTTGTTTATTTTTAAAGAATTAGGAGTAATTTTTAAAAAACGAGAGTATAATCAATTCCAGAAACTAGTAAACTTCCTCGCAAAGGTTTTTTGTAGTTCATACAAGGGGTACCAGTGTACCATGCGAGAGGCGCTACGTAGCTAGTTTTACTTGTAAAAAAGACGAGCAAACATAAGTTAGGGAAAAGAAGTAAGATGTACTCCGTATATCACTTTGTGTTTAGAGTAAATACAACTGTACCCATGTTAATTGAAATGGTTTGTTTGGAGTAAATACACATAGATTAGTATTAAAATGCATATTATTTGTTGATACAAAAAATATTACTAGTATTAAAGAAAAAAATCCACTAATACAATATAAGTGGAAAAGTATTATATGATGTACTGACTAATGATGTAATTTTTGAACATAATTACAGTCACTAAAAATTACAAAATGATAATTCTGTCCATTACTTTTTTATTAGTAATATTTATGAAAAAACCTCTTAATTACATTATAAGTAAGAATGTTTAGTAAAATGAAAAGTAAGAATGTTGTGATAAGTAAATTGAAGTAATTAGAAGTAAAAACATTAGTAATACTACCTCCATCCAACATCCAGACACAAGGAGATAGCGTGGTTATTAAGAAAAGTGAGTTTATTTGTTGTTATTGAATTAATAAAGTAAGATGATTTAGAACCATTCATACTTGGTATGGGACAGTTTTAATGGGACAAGCTGAATAAAAAGATGGGACAATCTAAGCTAAATGGCCGAACGCAATGCTAGTTTGATAGCTCATAGCTCCATGATTTATGCTACTTGTGTTCTTAAATGGAAAAAACATTGCTAGTTAGATTCACAGCTTGATTGTTAGTCGAGCTCACACTATACATTATCTCTATGATATTCAGTTTTTCTCTCCAAATTACTTAAAATCTGGTGTTTTACAAGTGTTTTACTTAAAATCACATCATGACCAAAGTTAATTGTCAATTTGGTCATGTTGTGATAGAAGATAGTATGATCTCTCTCCTAAATGCTCACAACCTATCAACTGGCAAATTTTCTCTAAAGCTTAATAAATATACTCAATTCCATTTCTTCTATGCAAGTTGGACATTTGGGACTCTCAAGTTCCAACTTGAGAGAGTATTAACATTATAGGGAGTACTTGTAAGTTGTGATTTGTCTTTTATTTTTACCTCATGTACTTGTAAGTTGTAACTACAAGGGCCTTTAGAGATATCATTGTACTTTCCTAAATTGGTCATTGGTCATAATAATAAATATCCTATATTCTAAACTCTAATAAACTTTTGGTTTACAAATTCAGAGACACACATTAGTTACAAGATGAGTCAGCAAATTTTTCTAGTTAAATATCAGCAAAAGACAAATTAGAAGTTTAGAACATTACCATGACATAAGCATCTTCCCCTACATTATAAATAACATTATCAACTTTTGCTGATGTAAAGTGCCTCTTGGCCTGAAGTATGTCAGCAGCTCCATCTTGACTGCAATGTTCAAGAGAGAAAATGTAAGACCCCAATCACTTCATACATGTAAGCCAAGTCAATGCTTTTAGGAGTCTTGATAAATAAGGATGTTTTTATTTGGCCTGAAATGTGTGGTCTGTGTGTATTTTATAACTATCCCAGTTTGGTCTGGTATGCTCTGGTATTGAAAACAGTCTAAGTAAAAATATCTTAAGCCTCAAACATGATGTACATTAAATGCTAATATTTGGGGGTATGGACACATGATACCACTCAAATATAGACCAAATTGGACTGTAGATAATGTGCACCTCTATCAAACCATTTAGTCGCCTTCATTCCAAATCGGATGTCTTCTTTTAGTTTGGCACAACTATTAATAAAGTGGTTAAAAAGTAAAAGTTGTGATTGAAGTTTTAGTAGAATTAGTGAACTGATATGAACCACATATTCCTTTCCAAAAAGGAAACATGACATTCATTATGGGACAACACAAAAAGAAAAGTAAGACAGTCAGAACGGGACGGAGGGAGTATCTTTTGAGGTGGAGTCGACTTGGATCAGAGTAAACACTGAACCCTAACAAGTCATATTTCATTTAAATACTCCATTCGTGTCATATAATTTTTTCTGGTTTGACTTGGATCGAAGTTTAAAAATATGAATAAAGTGAAACTGTATGACTGTAGCTAAGTAAGAAAAAAGTAAATAAATGTTAGGTACACTAAACTTTACAAAAAAGCAAATGGAAAGAAATTTTTGAAAAAACCCAAAAAGGTAAGTGGAAATAATTTTTTGGTTGCTAACATACTTCTCCATAAAGAAGTTGACACAAATGCAGATGGAGGTAAATGATGATGAAGAACTCAACAAAGGCAAGAATTTAAGGATTTTGAAAGTGATGATAGAAGGGGTGATGGTCACAAGGATTTATTATTAGTTTTACTATATTATTTTTTATTACTAGCTTAACTATTAAGTTGTATTACTAGTTTAACAATTTCAAGTATTAATTGTTGGTATATTTTGAGACTTAAGCCTCAAGGGTTACATCCCACCTCTGTGAGACAAGCTGCCACAATACCTGTACTAGCCTTTTTAAACCTTGAACACAATGCTACAAAATTTAACAACTAATAAAAATAATACTCCCTCCGTCCCTGAATGTTGTTCCAATTGCGGATTACGAAGATTGACCGACGATAAAGTTAAATGATCCCTGTGAAAACTCGGATTATTTTTAGTAAATAAAATTTACATATTCAGAAACTACATTAAACCCGCTACAAAGCCTGCAAAAAAAAATCAATTTTCATAAAGTTTTGATACAAAAAGTAAGAGTTTAAGAGTGATTTAAGTTGACCCTCGAAAAGCGAAATGGAAGTAAATTTAGGGACAGAGGGAGTACTACGTATAAATTAACATAAAACTCATAATTGACCTCAAAAACTTTAAATTGTTTTATGATCTAGCGATTGGGATTAATAGATGATACTAATGAATAAAAGCAATGGATCATAAACTACATTTTCAATTAAAACCATCAAGCTGATCTTATATGAAAATCTCATCATCATTACTTCAATTCCGCAAAGGCTCCCACTTATGGTGGGGTAAGGGGGTCGGATGTAGTGACGTACGCAGTCTTACCTCTATACTAAAGCACAGAGAGGTTGTTTTTGAATAACCCATAGTGAAAATCACGTCGAAAATTACATGGATTAACTGTTGCTTCATAACAAAGAAGCGTAGACAGTTTAGTAAGTCATTTTGCTTTATTCCATCATATTCTGTTAAATGTCCCACACCGGAAACATTTGGATGAACAAAGTGTTATATTAACAAACGGGCTACTCCTCCTGTCGGGTTGACCTTTTAGAATGGAACCCTGTGTCTTAACATGGTGTCAGAGCCAAATCGATCCATGGTGTGGGGCCCCTTATGAAAAATGATGACACGATTATAAAAAACGGTCGTATGAAAAAAATGGACCGATGAAAAAAAAAATGAATGATTGCACGATCAAGACGAAGTGTCTGGTCGTGAGGAGGGGTGTTAAATGTCCCACACCGAAAACATTTGGATGAACAAAGTGTTATATTAACACACGGACTACTCCTCCTATTAGGTTGACCTTTTAGGATGGAACCCCGTGTCTTAACATATTACCTAACCAAAAAGTAGTGAATCTTTGGATCCATTGCAAATGATGGAAAAAGAATATATTTGACATTTTGTGTATTGCGCTCTTTAGGCGAGGCAACAAGCCGAGGAGAGTGTTCTCTATCACATAGACACCTAAACAACACTTGGTCAACGCTTTGACCATACCATGACAACTGAATATAGATAACAAGAATTGTATAGGATTATAGTGTAATAATCAAGTCTTCCATGTTTAGTGGGCAGCCATTTCACATCCAAGTTATTATGGAATTACATGTACCGAATTCTTTAGTTTTTTGGGCCTTTGATCAAGACAGTGATTAATATAACACTAGCAGTTTGGGGCTCAATCGCAAGAATAAGGTGCCTGAGTTGAAAAGAAGGGACGAGTGGCTGCCTTGTGAGTTTACAAAGATGACAGGAAAAGGATAATAGGTGAAGAGAGATAAGCAGTTAATCTGCAAGTAGTCTTTGAATCTATTTATTAAATGGATTGTGCTGAAGTGTCTTAACGGGATGCACATTTAGTGACTTTCATATTCGTTTAGACTTTAGAGGGGTCTGAGTGAAAATTAGTAAGGTCGAAAGGGATTGTTTACCTTTTTCTATCGAGTAATGTTTGGATTAGGATGATTGTTTGGATGAATTATTATTTGTTTATGAGACTATTTGTTTTATTTGATGAGTAAGCAATCTAAATTGAGTAAAATAATCAACTAAATATTATTATTAGGTTAAATTGTGAATGAGTAATGTCATTTATTAACATTAATCAATTCCTTAAAAGATTTGAAGATCTTGGATATATGCATGTCTTAATGGGGAGGGATATTGTATCACAGCTTAATGATTATCGTTTTTTATTGAATTGATAAGTCATGTTTCACAATTAAGACATTGATAAATATGATTAAACGATTTTGTCATGGTTCTGATTAAGTCCATTAGGTCACAAGTAAAGAGCCTCTGGCAGGTTGGGGTTTAAACGTTACAGCAATTAGATCAAATGACAACCTAAAAGCCTGTCAAAGTATTGAGCCTTAAGCCCCAGTGCTTGTAATTGAGGCTCATCCACCTTTACCAGATGAGATGTAAACCTAGAGCGAGAGGTAGTTTTTCTTGAGCCCTGGAAAGCCTAAAAATTGCCTTTTTAAACAATGAATTAATTAAAAGCATATAAAACATAAATGGGTTTGAATTGGTTAAAAGTTCATATGCTAGAAAACATAAATCTAGTACTAGTCAACAAAAAAACTTACATAGTTATGCTCTTAATTCCTGCATATGCTCTCCCAGTGGTCTGTAATCAAGGAATCAGGTCAGTAAATATGTTCACAGTGCAGGACATAAGCTAAAAAGGAAAATCTAAACAAATTTTTAAAAGACCTAATTAAAAGATTCAGGGCATCGAGATATTGAAGAACTGCAAAATCGCAGAGTAATTCGTTTCCTAAAAAGACTGCTCCTTTGTAAAGAAATGCAAACTCAGTATGCTCAAGACATTCGAAGATATACATTGTATTCTATTCTTCTTAGCTCACAAACCTTTTGATAGCGGTGAGACCACTTCTGCTTGGCTTCCTCTACAGGAACCGGATCCCCGATAAACTCGCCGTCATCATCATCAGAGGCCTTAGCCGGAGCCCTCCTTGCAGGAGGCCGGGCCAGATTTACCACATTCACGCCATGGGACACATCCTCGTCCTCGTCCTCATCCTCATCCTCAAGCTCATAGAACTCAACACCGTCATCAGTCAAATCCAGCACCTCCATCCCCTTCCGCCTCTTAGACTTCCGGCTAAGATCCTGTTCAGCCGGAGTACCGTCCCCTGAAGCCTTCCTCTTGGCCGGCGCTGCAACTACGCTAGGAGCTTCAATTCCAGCATCAGCAGCTGGATCGAGAACTTTTTTAATCACTCTTGAAGACTTCCTCCTTGAATCCGAATTGGCTGAAGCAGCTTCCGCCAGCCGCGAAGAAGCTTTCCTCTGGGACACCATAGTGGAGGGTCGGAGCTGGGAGATGGGGTAGGGTTTTGAGATGAAGAGTAGAAGGCGCAGGTGGAAGAGATAAATGCGGGTCGACGACCACACGACTACTTGTGGAATTTTTGGGGGCTAAGCTTTTAAAGGGGCGTCGGAGGGGCGGGAATCCCGAATCGTTGGAATTTTTTGGTGAATGAATTTTTTTAAAATGAAATAAATGGGCGTGACATTTCGGGTGTAGCGGGAAAACAGTGTCTAACGAAGCGTTTGAATCCGCGTTTGATTCATGGGTCCCTTTTCTCTGCCATTGTATTGAGCCAAGTCTGAATTTCGATACCTATTAAAGAATTCGCACCATTAATCCATTAATTAAAAAAATTTAGAGTCCATTTAGCAGCACGAAAATCGGCTGTTTTGGTTGATTCTGCTGGAATTTATGAAGTTCTGACTGAAGTGGCTGTATTGGCTGGTTCTGCTGATTTAAGAAAAAATTATTTTTAAAATATATTTTATTAATAAAATAAAGAAAAAAAATTATATGTAAAAATAGCTAAAATGGTCATCTACAGTAACTTCAGCCAATACAGCCAGAAAAGTAACTACAACCTTACCTTTTCTGCTTATTACACAATTCAGCGCGCGAAAGGAAAAATTACATGTTTGGTGAAAAAGTTGACTGATAAGCCTGATAAGCTGAAAAACAGTGTTGCCAAACGGCCTCTTAGTGTACATCAGTTACACATAAAGTGTACATAAGTCCACTTCAGTTATCTGTATACAAGTAATCATTTTGAAAATGGTGGAGTTTTTTATGTCCACATGTGTACACAGGCAATGTACAATTTGTGTACACATTTTGTGTACATCAAGAATGCTCCTTAATTCATATAGAGTATTTGTTACTTGTTTCACAAGAGTTTGTTTTGAAACAACTTGTTTCACAAAAGTTAATCATTACTTGACCGGGTTAATTTTAATTGTTATTTTGGTTTTTTTGTGAATTTTGTTAGAAAATGGAATTATTTATGTACAATTGTACACTTCTAAGATTATTTTACAAAAGTTAAGAAAAATGGTATCCCCTCCATTATGATTCGGATTGTAACAATTCACTAGTACAAGACTGAAGATAGTATAGAAATTGAATTAGGTTTTACCGTTTTCCTCTTTGTCGCACAAAATAGACAATATGGTTATAAATTAAATGAAAAAGTAAAATATACGGAAAAGATGCAACCCCAACAGCTCATCGGTCACATTAAATCAAAAGAGATTCATTGAAATTTTGCCAAATAAAGGGCAAATGGACTAGCACGGTTGTTGTGCCATTACGTACAACATCATAATGGTTTTCCAAAAATGGAGGAGCGCTTCATGTACAACACAACTTTGAAATATAAGAAACTTAAGCATTTCATATTTCCCGCTATAATGCACTTTTGAACAAAAAATATTACAAAAACATCATCTTCATAAATAAATACTCCGTGCTACTTTTAGCTTTTACTCTTCGACATTTTCTCTGCATTTACTCACTTTCTTTAATGGCACATGATGCCCACTATCACTACAAAAAAATTCGGCTGTAGTCACGGATTTAGTCACGGACCACAGTGTAAAAAATCCGTGACTAACTCATTTAGTCACGGATTCTGTCCGTGACTAATTCCGTGACTGTTTGGGCGTGACTAAATTTAGTCACGTCAAATTGTCCGTGACTAAATGTAGTCACGGATTAGTCACGGACCAGATCCGTGACTAATCTGTCACCGGAATAGCTGCTCCGGCACTTTAGTCACGGCTAAGATCCGTGACTACATTTTTTAAAAAAATTTTTATATTAGTCACGGACACGTCCGTGACTAAGTATTTTTTTTTAAAAAAAATCGGCCATATTAGTCACGGAAATATCCGTGACTAAGTTTTCAAATTTTTGAAATTTTCAAAAACCCGCGTTTCCTTTTTTCAATGTTTTGAAATTTCATATTAGTCACGGTCATGAATCCGTGACTAAATTTTTTTTTTTAAAAAAAATAAATTTTAAATTTAACAAATAATTCCGGACTAAAAAATTAGTCACGGCTCAGATCCGTGACTAAATGTTTTGTTTTTAAAAAAAAAAATCTATTTTTTAAAAACCAAAATTAAAACTTATTTTAATTTTTCTTAAGAAAAATTGTTGTTAAAAATATTTCAATTGAACTGTTCGTAGAAAAACTATTTTAAAACTGTTTAAACTTTTTTAAAACTGTTTAATAAAAACAGTTTTTAATAAAACACAGTTTAAACATTTTTAAAACTTTTTTTAAACTGTTTAAACACTTTCTAATAAAAAAACAGTTTAAACTTTTTAAAAACTGTTTTTTAATGTCTTTAATAAACACTTTTTTAAACTGTTTAATAAAAAACTGTTTATTACACTCTTTTTAATAAAAAACAGTTTATTAAACACTTTTTAATAAAAACCCGTTTTTTATTAAGCAGTTTAACAAAAACTTTTTTTTATTAAATTGTTTTTTTATAATCTATATTTTATATTTTATTTCAGAAAACTGTTTTTAATGTCTAAATTAATATTTTATAATTAACATGTTAAACTTTTTTGGAAGTTTGACATGAGGGGGTATTTTTTTAAATAATTCGGGAATAATAATTTTGATAGATGATAAAAAACAATAATACTAACAATGTCCAAATATTTCTATTTAGCATGCTTCATTCTAAGTCTAAAAATTAGTCCAAACCAACCTAACATAATTCAAGAATAAAAGAAACACATAAGGCCGAAATAAAAAAATAATAAAAAAGGTTTGAATAATCATGCATGTTGTTTAACCTAAAATTAAATCATATTTTGGCATACATATTAAAATTATTGAACATATAAAACATGTAATAAACTAAATTATATTAAACATGTATACCAACTAAAGAAAAGTATAAACTAAATCGTATTTCGAAATTTAATATTAAACATGTATTTCAAAAATTATATTTCGAATATTAAAGAAAAATATAAACTAAAACATATTAAATCATATTACTACACAAAACATGTATACAAAACTAAAGAATCATTCATAATCTTTTGTATTTCAACAAAAGAGCATGCACTTTAATAATAACATGCATTTTTGGAATGAAAATCAAATACTAAAAATAATAATGAAAAGTAATTGAAATTTAGAACACATAACCTTGATGAAGAGGACGGCGAAGAGTCTTCGACGGAGGTAGCTAACGGAGACCGGCGACGGACGGTGGCGACGGACGGTGAAAGCGGTGGTGGAGGTCAAAGGGTTCGGCGGACAGAGAGAAGAAGTAGAGATAGAGGGAGAGTTTTAGGGTTGGGAGAGTGATTGGAATGAAAAATTCGCCAAGGGTTTATTTTATATAAGGGATTAGTCACGGATTTAGTCACGGATATTTCCGTGACTAAACCCTTCGTAATCCCCGAATCCAGCCACACGGTGTCAGGGCCGCCATTGACCGGGTTAGTCACGGATAAATCCGTGACTAATGCCGTGACTAAATTCAAAATTTGAATTTAGTCACGGATTTAGTCACGGATTTATCCGTGACTAACCCGGTCAATTTTTTTTCGAATATTTTTTATGGATATAATATGGAGTAATTTTAAATTTCGAATTATGGAAATTTTAATTTTGAATTTCTAACTTTGAATTATTAAAAGTATATTTTGAATTTATAATATGGATATAAAAAAGTTGTTGTTGTTGAATTAATATGGAGTAATTTTTATTTCACAAATAATAATGATGAAGAAAAAAAATCAAATATTGTTGGAGTAATATACGTAGTAATGATGAAGAAAAGAGCACAAATATTTGGAGTAAAAAAAATTGAAATTACAACAACACAATTACTCGCTGTCAGAATCGTTATTTTCTACATATACAACGTCTTCTTCTGTATCAGAACCGTCTATCCATTCTCCTTCTTCCTGATATTGAGCAGATCGTTGTTCTTCATGCATTTGAACAATTCCGTGCTCAGATGGAGGTGTTAGGTCCAGAAGGTGCGTTTCTTGCATGAATTCAAACAGTAATTCTAGTAAAACGGTAAGATTTCGGTGTGTCGTAGCTCCTTTACCTCTACCTGGGTAATTGAAAATGGAAACTACATTTTCGTATAAATCCTCACCAATGTCATCGTTCTGGGCAGGTCTCTTTCTTCTAGTGATGACTTCACGCTCAAAATAAAAAGATGAGAACGTGGAAATTTCTTGTTGAAGAAACCTTTCAAATCTGTAAGGTAAAATCAAGCTACATTTCACAGTAAAAAAATATTTCATACCAGTTGGAAACTTCTATTATTATAAAATACGTAGTACTTATGCAGCATTAATTTTAATTTCACATGGACATGGACTCCACTCATTAATTTTTTATCCCAAATGATCGTCGCCTAATATAATAGGCATCACAACTATTATTCTGTGCTCAGTCACTACGTACTATTTTAATCAATGTTATAAGTATTTTAATCACTACAATTTAAAAAAATGTCTACAACAATTCACCTCTGTCCCATTTTATAAGATATATTTACTATTCACTTGGTCAACACAAATCACACTTAATCTCTTACTTTATACATAAAACTTGAGTTAGTTTGAATTGGTTTTGTAGCGGGTTTAATAACGGTCTCCCCGCCCACTCATCTCGTTAGGGACGTTACGAGACGAACCTACTATTCGTGGAGCGAGAGATGGATCCAAACAGGGGCGTAGCCAGGACACTGGGCTAGACTGGGCTGGTACAAAGAATATTATTGGAAAAAAATTTACACGAAATTTTTTACACTAAAAATATTGACATTTTTCAAATTTGGGGTGGGCCAGGGCCTAGCCTGGGCACCCCCTAGCTCCGCCCCTGGATCCAAAGGTTCGCCATGACAAGTCCAATTATAATAATTGGAAACGAAACCTTCCGCGTACAAATCCCACCCAACATCCTCTGGGTCTTTAAATTTGAGATTTCTACACTTTGAACATGGACATCTGATTTTGTCACCACTCATATAATCCGGGTGTTCAAGTGCAAATTTAATAAGCTCCCCACATCCCTCGAGGAAATTTGATTGCATTCCGTACAATACCGCATTTTTATCATACATCCAACTTCTATTTTGATTATACATTATGCCTGAATAT